TAGAATGAATCAGATGAATATTTATCGTTATTTGTAGATTGTGAAATTTGATTAAGAATATTAACAGGTGATATCGGTTCGGTAACATTACCAAGATGATCTTCATAAGTTATTGTTAATTGTAAATAATGTATTTGAGTTGATGTGTCTTGGTTTTTGTCTTTAATTTTAATAGAACAATACCATCTCGAGTAGTTTTACCTTCATTTTGTATTCTTGCAGGAACGAGTATATTAATTTTAAGTAATTCTATCGTACTATCTGCATATTTAGGTGAACCAAAAACATCTTCAATTTGAAATTGATTCGATTGTAAATGTAGTTGAAAATTGAATATGAGAGGTGCCACAATTAAATCAAAATTATCATCTAATAATTTGAAAAATTTTTCATTATTTACCGTAAAATAATTTGCACCCCGTGTATTAGCAATGTCTTGAATGAGTGATATTTGTAAATCGATAATAATTCTAATAAATATTATAAAAATATACTGTCCGGCATGTTTGACTAAAATTGATTTAAAAAATTCAACATTCATTTCATCTGTATTTATCTGTGCATCAGTGAAAAAAAGAATTCGATTTTCATAGTCCTTTGTTCGTTGAATACGACTGAATAAATTCGAATTTGTCCGTACTCCAGCACTCATGTCAGTACCATCACCTGCCTGAAATGAATTCAGATTACTTTTAACTTTCTTTTTTTGATCTGCATTCATATACGAACTAGAGGATGTAGTACATTTGCAGATGTATTGAAAGTGATTAGACCAAAACGATCTTGCTTTTCAAGGGGGTGTATGAGTATGAGTATTGATGTGGATCTTCTTTACAATCACACCCACACCTACCCTAAACAATGATATTGTTCAATTTAATGTTACTACTCTCTTAAGTTCGATGGTACTCAAAGGTGTGAGTGTGAATGCTGATATCCTGATCAACTACACCTACACTCACATACTGCCAAACAAAATATAACACATTATATTTTTTCTTTTCAATATAGAACAAATGATATTTTTGGAAAAGATATGGACGATGTTTTTTTTCATAACCAATATCCTTCGAATTTGTTGATGAATCCCATCGACAGGATGAAATTATTATTGTGGTAGCTTCGTAGTAGCATCTTTTTCAAGTAGTGGTTTTTGTGAAATACGATTTGAAAGGAGTATGAAAATATATAGGGTAAAAATTCGTCCCCCGCTATCACAGACTGTGACAGATGGATTCCAAGGATGGATGTAAGTGTAGCAGTCTTCTCGTACATCAACGCCCTCTATCTTGAAGACATGCAAATTGTGTATGACCTTATGAAATCTCTCATTCTTTTCTGTCATCGCAAGCCACGAGAGAGAGTGAAAAATAGATTCTTTTTTGTTCTTTCCTGACAACTTACAGCCGAAAGAGTATAGAGAGTGTAGCGAGATGTGAGTAAATAAAAACGCACACACATGTTGCCTTTGATACATAAGTAAGTGAGTGTACCATGGTTTCTTTGTCTGTGTTAAGGCTTCCAGTGCAAAAGTTTTTTCTTTCCATCTGATCGTCTGATTTTGATAAAATTAAGATAGAAGATAGGTCTCAAGGTAGACATCTTCCAGTACAAATTTCAGCTCGAAATATAGAGCCTAGTAAGAGTTAGCCTATGGTTAATGGTAAAAAAATATAAGTATCTATTTATTAAAAATTTCTCCGCTATTTTCTAAAGCTATGAATTTCGAGTTGGTTTTAAAATGTAGCTAAGACCTGGTGTTACAACTTAGTCAATCGAGATTTTTCAGCTTTTTTCCGACTTCGTATTTTTGAAACGTTTTTCTTGAGAAATATAAGAAAAAGTAATCGTGTACTTAGAGAAAAAATCGATCTTTCCTTAAAAATTCAAGGAAACTTAAAAGGCTCGGAATTGTTAAATTGTACAGCTTGTTTTTTCTGTCATTTTGAGACCAACGCTAGCTTTCTCACATTTAAAATAGCGAAGAAATCTGGTATGAACGTTAAAGTCAGAATGAAAAACCTTGTTGTAAGAAAAAAGCACATATAAATTGGATGCTGTGAACGGGTTTGGGACTCATCATGAAAAGTAGATTCACATACAATCCATATTCAACAGTATCAAAAGTCAATAGGAAAATTCAAAAGCTGCAAAAACCAAAACTTTTAAACAAACCTATTTTTTTCGAAAATAAAGATATAGAAAGACCCGTGTAGTTCTTTTAACAATCACCGTAAAATAAATAAACTATATTGCACTCGAGAGTAGACATTTTGCTCTATTTTCTGCATCATAAATCACAAAATCGAAAAATTTGACCAAAATTGATATTTTCGAGTGGCGAAAGGCTTTTCATGTCGTAATGAAATTTGAGCTCGATTTTGTTCTCTAGTTGTACTTACAAGTAAAGGTCATGAAAACTTTCCTAGTACTGTGAAAAAATTGCATCAGTGTCAAAAATGACTCTAATTTGAGTTAACATAAACCGAAAGTAACTAAGGGTTATTGAATGTCAATTAAACTACAGATTGTCGAAAAAAAAAACGATACACATCTTCCATTTTTACTCTATCAGTATCAATTAAATCTTCACTTCTTTTAGTGATGATAACTGATAGAAAATTATCTGATTTCTCAATTTCTCCATATTCTTGGTTGAAAAAACCTATTTTGACAATTTTCATTTCAATTTGTTATAGTCATATTGGTAAAATATTTCATCACATAGAATAATGTCTGAGAGTTTTCATTGCCTTTGTCAATTATGAATCCCGTAATACAGATTACTTCTCTGAAAAGAAACCATACGTTTAGCTGGACTCAATAGGTTTAAGTCTTTTTCCTTTCTACTGTTAGCACATTGTCTATGTACTAGCAAAATTATCCTAACTAGGTACATCAACAAATCTGTATTGCAATCAAATGTGATACTTATTTTCTGTTTAGCTACATAACCAATCCGTGAATCGCAAAGATAATAGAATTCAGAGGACAATTAAACAAGCATTCAAGTATTCATTACAAACTTTTCTTGGTGAATAACTGTACAATTCGATCTTTCACACAAGAAATCGTGTTCGAAATATGCATCCATCGTTTTTTATTTTACATATATTATCTAGTACAATATTCTGGCACGTTACAATCGATGCTCGAGCGATTTTAGCTAGTCATAGCCATCCATCTAATGTTAAACATTTTGAACCTGAATTAGACACAAATATAGGTTATTGGTCACCTAGTACCAGTTCAATCGATTGGTGTGAACGTAATTACGTTATAACCCAGTATATTGCTGAATTTTGGAATTGCCTTTCAAGCTTTTCTATGTGTATATTAGGTGGAATATTATTCATTCGAGGTTTATACAACAAAATTGAAACTCGATTTTTATTGTCTAGTTTGGGCTTTGCATTTGTCGGACTCGGATCTGCCTATTTTCATGGTACTCTCACACATTTAGGCCAAATGGCAGATGAACTTCCAATGGTCTACTCAATGATTATCTGGTGGTTTATATTGTTTAGAATGAATGAGTTCAAACAGATAAAGGATAAAATATTTATAATTGACATATCACTTGTATTTGGGATTTTTTATGGGTTATTATGGACTTACGTACACAGTTTACAAACATTTGTACTGATATTTCAAGGACATATGAGTTTGATGGTACTTGGAGGTATAATTAAACTGATCTATTTATATCGACAGCCACATCATCATGTGCATTGGATAAAGTATCTGCTGATAGTGTATATGGGTTTCATAATTTCAGCTATTGTATGTTGGATTATGGATCAACAGTTGTGTGAACGACTGAATACTATCAGTCGATTTAATCCACAATTACATGCTTGGTGGCATGTATTTGGTGCTTTTCACTGTCATCTGGGAATTGTGTGTGGCGAAGCTATGCGTCTTCTATCAATCAAATATCAGCAGCATCAAGTAAAAAATGCTCGATCTTCTGACCAGCCATTCAAACCGGAAGATCACTTACATATCATCTCCTATTTTGGATTACCTTACGTAGATTATTCAAAAGAAAAACAATCGAATAAAGCAAAAGCTCAGTAAAATGAACGTGTATTTTCGTTCATAAAACGATGACAATAGACTCTTGACTGTGTTTTGAACAACTCGAGAACGGAAAGAACTTAGATTTTTCGTAACTTTAAGTTAAGACCCGAATATAACTCTTCATAAGAAAAATAAATTGAAGAATAATTCTCCTATGAAAGTTTTTGAAAATCTCAGAAGGATGTATGTGTACGTCTGTATTGATGTCAGATGTGCGTAGAGTGTAGATGTGAGATGTAGGGTGCGAGTGTGGGTGTGGATAAAGATGTCAACACCTCACACCCACACCCTTCTGAAACTTTCAAGGTAAATAAATTTCAACTAGTAGACCAAAAACTATCCTAAACTTAGAAGCTCTTGGTGCTTCCTTCTATGAAATATCAGGAAAATGCTAGGGTCAAAACTGAGGACGGATGTGGGAGACGACAACATACCCATACCTACATTCATATTCATATCCCACCTACATCCCGGATATATCCTGATAGTCATCTAAATCTGTTCGGAGAGGAATGCCTCGTTATTACAGAAAGCGTCAATGAGATTCATTTGATAATCACACTCTAGTTTTGATGCTTCGTTTATCTTAGGTAACAAAAAATCTAACTATCTGCAATAGCACAATGATATGCTATTTTTTCAATCGTTCTGATCACTTTATTATTATCTTCAAGAGCAAATAACTTTTAGAAATAAAAAATAAGGTATTAATGTTCGCTAATTCGATTCCTATTGTGATCAATTACTAATTTTAATTATGATTGGATTTTATGAAGAATTTAAAAATAGATTCAATTAGTAAAATAGTTCAATTAGAATATTTTTCATTTAAAATATCATTGTTATATAAGATACAAATGCGTTAATTATAAATTCTTGGAAAAGATAAATTGAAAGTTTTATTAAAAAAAGGTTGATCATTATTTGTAATATCTAATTGATGTATAATTTGATATGTTGATGGTGATTGTTGAGTAAACATTATTGATTTTGTTTGTATATCAACTTTAATTGATGATTCATTTTTAAAATAATATTTTAAATATCTTAAGATTTCAATTCTTGCTAATTGTGGATTATTGTTTTTAATTTGATGAATACTTTCTGATCTTTCATCTCATATTAAACCATCTGGATATTCAATAGAACCATCATCTTCATTTATCTTATTTCAAAAATAAAAATTAATTATTAAAAATTGCAAACAAATAATTACTTGTAATATAATTGTTTGATTAACTTCATTAAATATTCGAAAACGATCAGATGAAGATTGTCTTAATTGTTTTATTTGAATTCCTTACTTAAGCAACTTCCGGAAAAGCAAGATCATCTCGTGTTGAACTTTATTTATTAAAAAATAAAAAAAAAAAAGCAAATATTCAAATAAAAATATCTTACTATTTATCAGTTAAACAAGGTAATGTAAGAATACATGGTGATGATTCATTTAAATGAATTCTAACTAATAAAAAATTTATTTTTATTTAAATAAATAAAAAACTCACGTTAATGTTGCTAGTTGAGATGAAGGCCACACAATTGGCCAATATGATGTTGATAAAGCTAGACGAAGACGACAACCAGCTGGAAGACATACACAAATACCACTTAATGTTACTTCAATACTTTAAAATAAATTAAAAATTTTTAATCTTTATCAAAATATATTTTTGATTTAAAACTACACATCATATGGAACGGATCCTCAATAATCAAAAACAGTGCTTTCGACATGATCGTGGACGTTCTACTTGAAACGATCATCGTTTCAATCACCATTTTCACATGTTATTAATGAACTGTGATAAAATACTCTTTTATAAACAAATATTAATAAATGGACAATATTTTCTAAGATCGAAATATAATTCATTCTTTATTCCTAGGTAAGTACATTTGATGATAAAATATATTCTTTTGTTTTATAGATGATCAACAAGATATTTTGTTCAACTTCGAATTCTTAGTTAATACCTTTCATACCGACATAAGAGATTGTCAACGTATGAAAACGCTGAACAGTCTCTTATTTCTGAGCATTATCTTCTCTGAATGAATCCATTTTTATAATTAAATCATTTATTCGAAAGAATATTTATTGTACCTTATCATATATGCGTATCATCTTTGTACGTGCTCTTTTTTTTATGTATCCCATCAATATATATTATAAGTATTTATTGATATGTACAAATTCTATTGATGAAATAAAACATTTAACAATAATAAAGATCATAGGCAGAGTCTTAGGAGAAACTCGAATAGGAATATAGACATTCATCTATATAGAACGAAAAAACGGTGCAAATAATCCAATCAATCTTCATGAATACGACTCGAGTACGGTTCTGCGTTATTCGACAGAAACGATTCTAAACGACACCGCTTCGATTTGAGTGAAAAACGCTCCATAATCTCTGATCATAAATAAAACCCTAAAAATGTCATCGTTTTTGACCGTTATATTCATTTCCTATGATGATAATGATCGAATTGAACGTGCTCACTTATAAATTTGATTGATATTTAATAATTTGGGATGTTCATGTGATTGATGATGTGTTAAATTAAGAACGCCACGTGCAATAAGAATTGAAGATGAAGTATTTTGATCAATCATACAAAGATGAACACATATTAAACCAACTTGACTTGAAGAACTTAAATTAAGTTTAACAGTTGGAAATCCAAATAATTCTTAAGAAAATAAAAATCAATTGATTTCATTTTAAATAAAAATCAATACCGTAATCATTAGTTAATGGAAGAGAATCAAAACATAATGATCTTCCATCATCTTCTCGTTGATCTATTGCATTTGAAGGATGATGAACATATCCTAATCCACATAAATTTCCACATGATATTCCTGTTTGTTGAGGAGATAAAAATGATATTTTATTAGGAAATAAATTATTTGAAATAGGTTCAGTTGTCAAAGATCCAAAAGATAAATAATATTTAATTTGTTTTTGATTTATTTGTTGATTTTCATTTGTAAAATAATCATTTCTTTGTAAATGTTCATTTGGATAAAATAGAATATCATTTAAATGAATCCATTTTCCTTTTCTTTGTTTTACAATTGAATGAAGTTCATCAATATTTGGATTTAATTTATAAATAGATATTATTTCTTTTTTATCATAACCATTATCAATTCCTTTAATATAATAATCAAGCCATTTAACTATTTCTAATAAAAAACCAATTTGTGGTCCAGGATAAGCAATATCTCTTTAAAAAAAAAAGAATATCAAATATAAAATATATTTAAAATAATTCTACGCACGGCCATTCATGTCCCCATGGACCTAAGATCGCTCGTTTTGGACATTTTAATTTATTTATTAAACGGAAAACTGTATCAGTATAAAGATCAGCAAAACCACCAATTAATAAAACAGGACATAAAATCTTTGAATAATCTTCACAAACGCATCAAGAAGGAAAATATCATTTGGTGTACCAAATAAAAACGAGCTACATCTTCCAATTTTTGGTGCTCGACGAAGATGCGCGCTTTGTAGTACAAAGAAAAATAAACATCGAAGTACATATCACTGTTCTCATTGCAACAGAGCTTTCTGTATGAACTCTAAAAGAAACTGCTTTTATGAATACCACAAAAATATTTTATAATTAATTAATTGTTTTTTTTTGCTGTATATTTTGTATATTTTTGTATACACTATTGTAAATAAATTTGTTTCTTACTTCACTAACCTAGTTTTCGAGAACTCCCAAAAGTTTTCATTGATATATCAATAACACTTAGTAGTCCTCTCAAATATAACATCTCAAAGAAATTTTATTCATTGGATGAGTCATGGTATTAAAGGGTTAACTCACTCTCTCTCTCTCTCTCTCTTCATTACTCAAGCTGTCTGATCGATAAGTGATAGGACAAGCAAAAGAATGATAACATTTTTGTGGGGAAAAAACCCAGTGTGTCTGAATAATATACGATCATGTTTATCCCCACGTATACGATTGGATGCACGCAAGCCAAACGTATTTTCGATGCATATATAAGTAAAATGATGCTTTCATTTTCTTTACTAAACAACATCGATACATTACATTATCAACGTATTACATTCGTCTTTACAATATACATCACATTAATACAACAAGCAGACGTAAGTCTTTTGATATTGCATTATCTCTCGTAAGCCCTTTTAGTCTATCAACGTTCAGAAAATTTTTCTATCCTTAAATGATACCAGTAATTGAGTATAGTTTATGTGAGCTTTAGATTGTGTCTAAACGTATGAAAAGAAGAAAACGAAAGTGAATATTGGCAAATTTTGCCAATATTATGAAAATAGTGATGAAGTTAGTGACTTTTTTCTCGTTAACACAGACCGTTTGCGGCTATTCATGAATTTAATGAAAAGGATAGCAATTAATATGCTACTGAAATCTGTTCTGATTATTCGATAGTTATAAGAAAACCTTGATGATTTGAATCGGTGCTCTATGATTCGAAGAGACATTAGAGCTATTTGTTGTGCATAGGTAACTATTAGAATGCCTTGAAAAATTGCGAAGACAAGCAGATTAGCAATATCTCAACAATACTCTTCACAACTCTAAACGATCGAAGTGATTCGCGCCTTGAAGCCTTACGCATTTGTTATAAAGATACCATTGTAATTCCACTAAGAGGTGCTTCCCGTGTCAAATCTTCGTATCTCGGCAGTTTTTAAAAGCATAATAAAAGCCATGTATGTTCAAAGAGAGACAACACTATCCTTTGAAACGATAGAGTAAATGGACAAAAATCGGCTAGATATTCTAACAGTTTTCCAATAGAACTGATGTTGAAAGCGTATTCTTCCCACTTCTTTCATATGGTTATATCTATGTTCTAAGGAAATCTATACACAGATGGGGTAGGGTCTTAAACTGGGATATGTCAATAAATTGTTTTTTTTTATTATTATTATTATAAAAAACCAATTTTTAACTTTATGTATGTTTGGAGGATCTCCAACTTGTGAAATTTCGAGTTGCGATAACTCGAAGAAAGTAATAAAAATTTGATGCATAAAAGTGATGTCATATCTTTTATGTTAAATAACAATAAACAAACTGTTTGCATAAGTGCACTCATGTAAAACGAACGACTAATGGTTCATATTGCAACCATTCTGAAGATTTCTCTCACGACAAGTAAGTTTAAAAGCTAGATTTTTTTGAGAATGCTCACTAATATTTCTTTAATGAGAGATTTCAATAAAACTCTGATTTTCCAGTTACAGAATGAAATTGAAGAAATCAGAAATAGTTCACAATGATGCTTTGGTTTAGAAATTGTCACCGAAAATTCTCGTGCTACAGATCAAATAGTTTGTCAAATTAAGCCGAATTTGAGATTAGGTGAAGTCTAAATTAAAAAAGGATGGCATTATGGAGAAATAGAATGAAACATAACAGTGACTAGCCATGAGTAGTGTCTCGAAGGGTTTCCGACGAACGACTAGCCGGTGTACTAAAAAATCTCTTGAAGACACGCTTCAGGCTGTTTGTATTCATCAAACAAAAATCAACAGTCTAGACCTAATGTGTTTGAATAAGGACTAGCAGTTGGTAAGAACTGACAAATATTTTGAAATAAAGTGTGACAACGCTTTTTATGCATGTGCACAATATTTTAATACTACATTTGGCGGAAAACATCAGTCACAGGTCTTATATTCATGGTATCAGAAGTAGATATAAATGAAATAAACGGGAATTTTTCTGCTGGTATATGTTCTTGTTTGTACTCATTCAAATGTCGAAATGTATACAGATATATTCAAATTACCTATCTAATCTGACGGTTACTTTGAGTAGGAGCTTCTTTCAAGTATGGCAGTTCGATTGAAGACTAGATCTAGTATGGTTAATTTTAAGCTAGGAGTTCAACTGAATCCGTATTTTTGTAGCGCATACCCCAGTAAAAAATATTGTCGGCTGATGTTTTGGTAAGCCAATAGTTTTCTAGTAGAAATTTCAAGCAGTATGGCGCTGTTTCACAATAGTGTCGTGAATGCGTTTTGCTTCGTGATCTCTCAGAAAATTGAATATAATCTGTTTTTTGGGTGCATGTGGACATCGCCGCCATGTTGTAGTTCCTTAGACTATTGTTGAATATAAATATGGGGATATCGATTTGATTAGATGTATTTGTGGCAAAAATGTTCATTCGGACCTCCATACCATTATGCACAACAAGATTGACGCTAATATCAACACACACATCCATCCATTCTTTTGACACGTTGGATACTAGCTGTTTTGAATACTGTAAAACAGTATAAAACATCAAAGAGCCGAATATACAGTTGGAGGTTCAGCGAGTCACACGAACGAGCGTTACTTGTATACTTCTTCGGTTGGTAAGAAATTTTTGTCGTTTTTTTTTCGTAACTTCTTAGAACAGTCAAGAAAGTTCCAGAAGTTTCCATACTAAGGGTATATAAAGGGAGTGTAAATATCTTTCGAAGAACAATAAAACTATGGATATACAAGATGTCCTAGAAGTAAGGGAACAAGAAGAGTATCCGCTAAAATTGAACGAAAAATTGTTTATGATAGTTTGCGCACTTTTTATTGATGTAGAGTGCTGAAATTTTCAGAAATAAAACGTCTTGATTAGATACATATGTGATAAAAATTTCAGCTCTCTACATCAATAAAAAGTGTGCAAACTATCATGAACAATTTTTCGTTCAATTTTAGCGGATACCCTTCTTGTTCCCTTACTTCTAGGACATCCTGTATATCCATAGTTTTATTGTTCTTCGAAAGATATTTACACTCCCTTTATATACCTTTAGTATGGAAACTTCTAGAACTTTCTTGACTGTTCTAGGGAGTTACGAAAAAAAACGACAAAAATTTCTTACCAACCCAATATATCGCTCATGTTTGTATTAATCAAGCAGCTGTGACTGCTTAAGGTATTCATTGTAAACACTTCCGAGTGTAACAATAAATAGAGCGGAATCAAAAAAATGTATTATTTTAATCATAATTTTTTTCGTATTATATTCTCGAATTATTTTCTGTATTTGCTGTTTTGTCTGATGAGTCGCTCGGTGAGATATATTTCCTTTTAGTTCCGTTGATAGGTGTTATTGATGGATTATCATTTTCATTTTGGGTTTCTGCTGTTGGTGGATCTTGTGCTATTTGATGTTGTATTGTTGTTATTTTTGAATTAGTGCTGGTTTTTTGTCTATTATCTTCTTTTCTACTGCATATCTCTTCAATTCCAATATTAAACTTGTCTCCAAGTTGACTAGTCAATATTTCGAACTTTCGATTTAGAGCTTCGAATATTCTTTCTGCTGCTTGTTCAACAACAAGCATTATTTTTTCTGTGAGTGTTTCGATGACTGGTATTTGATTTATTTTGTCCGCGGTTTTAAGAGCTAGAAATTCGTCTAGATTATGCCAGGTGGGACAAGTTTGTGATCATCTAATAAGTTTTATTGTTGCTAAATACTGATCGATGGTTTTTTGTGTTATTTGTTGGTATTCTTTGAATTTTGGACAGTCTACAGACGTTGCAACATATAGGATGTTGATTGCTGTTGGAACAATTGTTGTACTTAAGACTTGTAACTCCAAATCTCGAACATACTTAGTTTTCAGATCTACAATACTTTGCCACATGCTCATATTTGAAACATTTGTAGCATTGACATGGTTTATTATTGTGAGTGGTTGGTTCAACTATGAAGTGCATTGAGTCAATTTGTACCGCAAGTTTAACAAATAGATCTGTATTCAAAGAGCCTGAAAAAGTGATTTTACTGTTTTTGAGAAACTTGTTTTCTTTATTCAATAAGCATGTCATTTTTTGATATTTAAATCCCTGATCATCTAGTGATTGTTTAATATTGTCATCACTTATTTCTAGACTGATCTTCTTGACGAAAGCTACTTTGTTATTTTCCAATATTCTTTGAATAGAACGCGGAATATGAACAGCAGCACGTTGATTCTCATTTGTTTAAATAATCGAAGATAGATTATTCAGTAATCGATTGAAAGATTTCACATCATTTAGATATAATATGAATGCGTTTGGTCGATTCGTTTGTATATTTGAGATTTTAATATGTAGTAGATAGTTTTTTATGAGAAGGTTTAATTTGACTTTCATAAGTGCTTTAGTTTCAACTATTAATGGTTGAACTGCAAAACTAGGTTTCGTTTTTGTTGTTCATTGTTTTTCATCTACAGTTGTTAACATTTGAAGCATATTGGGGTTTGATACAATCGTCCTTGAAATGTCTTGTTTATTTTTTCTACGTCCGCGAATACCTCCACCTATTTTCGGTAGCATATTGAATTAAATTGATTTTTAATATTTTTCTTAATATGCGTGTAATCGATAGGGCCTCACAAGAATGAATATCTCAAGTATTACATAGAACAAAAGTCGGATTAACTTGCTTTAATTGCTTTTTTCCATCAAAGCGCCATTTCTTTTGGAATTACCAGAGTATTATGATATTGTTCTGTCTTTTTTGTCTTATGATGATGATGATGGAGAAAATAGACAATAGAGAATCACAGTCCAAGGTCTATAGGTACGAGTATGAAAAAGACCGGTTGTATATCTAGATGTTTTTTCTTCATCATATAATGTCAATATGGTAATCGAACCTTATTTTTCTTGCATCTCACAATTACAATGAGATTTTTTTTTCTCCTCATCATGCCTAGGCCCACGCATTGAATACTATTTAAAGAAATCGAATCGACAGAAAGAAATACAGTAATCAGCTAAGAATCTTCATTCGACATTAAAAAAAAATACAATATAGCACCAAAAATGCTTGCCAACACCCTTGCTGTTTTGTTCATGATAACGTATGTTACTGCTCAACAAAGTTGTCAATTGACTGATGCGGATATTCTTGGACCCTACTATCATCCTGGTGCACCTACATCTACAGGGCAAATTTGCGCCAATTTACCGGCACATGATCGATTAATTTTAACTGGACAAGTACTCGATTATGAATCGAAATGTCAACGTGGTATTCCCAATGTGAAATTGGATTTATGGCAGGTAAAGATTCTTGTCGAATTGAAAAAGATAATTTGATTCATGTGTATTACTCTAGGCTAATTACAATGGTGTGTATTCTGGTGGTCAGAGTGCTAATGATTGGTGGTGTCGAGGTGTCATTACAACGGATTCTAATGGCAAATTTCGTATTACTACTCTGTTCCCTGGTCGTAAGTGTGACTTGTTTAGAATTATTAAATATATGAGATACTCTAATTCTAAGGTTACGATGACGGTGGTTATCGTCCGGCTCACATTCATTTCAAAGTTACTGCTCAAGGTTATCCAACATTCGTAACCCAATTGTATTTCAATCTTGATTATTATCTCTCACCACGTGATTCATGCAAACGCTGTAAGTATAATTTCTTGTAATAGAAAAAGAAAAATCTCGAATTTATAATCATTTTTTCAGGTCGTAGCGATGCCAAAACGTTGGTTGTGTCAGCCGCACATCGTGATGATATCAAAACATTCGAAGGTAATTGGAATATTGTCTTGTCGAAAACTCCAAGAGCCGTCTCACGAACAATAACACGTGAAACAGTGAACCGAGGCTCGTATATTGAAGTAAAAGAACATATCATGCATTCGCGTCGCCCAACAAACATCAATGAATTACTCAATACGGAGCAGTAACAACCATAGATAGAGTTGTTGTGTCATGAAAACATTGCAATTACTATTGATCTGTCTTTTTTTGTTCTAAGGAACATATATTCTACTGCTATCATTTTTTTTCCTATCAAATATAACTATCTCTATTGGGTCATATTTATTGTCTTCGCTTTTGAATATCAATGATTCAAACAACGTGATGGATCATCGTCCGCCTCATAGATGGTCGATGTTGATCGGTATCAAGATACTATTTGATCATAGGTATCTATGATGTCGATGATTGCACATATAGAAACTGAGTGTTGTTTTGTGAAGAGGTAGACAATATCAGTCGATATCTCAAATAGATTATGAAGATTCTAAATGTTCGATGGGTAAAAATGAATCTTGCTCTGTTAATAATACGTCAAATAGGATTGATAAAACATCGTTAACCGATCACATCGATAATGTCAATTCAAAACAGATCGATGAAATACTAGTACTTGTGATCGATAGATTCTTTGATTTAAAATCGATCATACCATCGATTGTGAATTGATCAAGCAGGTTTTTTCGGGCACATATTCAACTTCGTCAGTTATACTTTATTTTAGAGTACCCATACTAATGATATTCGTCCTGATGTAGACTTGCTGCAGTGCTAATCGAACAATACTTTGTCTTTCTTTGTCTCACAATTTACTCTCCATACTGATCTTATTCAATAACAAGACTTCGCATGCGATGTACTTAGTAAAAACGATGATCTGATTTCGAATCAAATTAACAAAATTTAGAAATCAACCTGGAAGATTTGCTAAAGAATTTAGAATGCTGTCAGATATTGACTTGAGATCAATTGTTTGAAGAATACAAATTCTCAGTTTGTACAGAGTTCAATGTGGGTGTAGGTATGTAGGTGTCGGCGTGGATGCGGGTGTGCGTGAAAAGAAGAGGAACACCTACACACACACACTCAGATCCACACCCATGGAAAGTGTTCATTTTTTTTTCTTAAATGCGCTTTTCCATACTTTAACTCGCTCGTTTATAATTTTGATGTTGAGATTTTTTTGATCTTTTCTCTCCTCTATGTGAAACAGAGTGAGTGAATTCTTACCAGCTAAGAAATATCGACCACCATGACCACCTTATTGGGTACAACTGGCAAGAAATCTAAATAAAGCAAGAAAAATATACAGAAGATCTAAACAAAACAGAAATATCTAGAAAAATACCTATTCTGGAAAACCCTATATTTTAACGAAAAGAGTTTATTTTTTTCAGAAGAGAAGGGAGAAGAAAATCTCATACAGTTCACATGGAAATAACATATGGGAATACGTACATCCAACATTCCATTCATATTCACCCTCTTTCAAAGGTCTCACAACAAGTACCAATATAATAAAAGATCACCAATTGACCGCCGATACACTTGCTGATTTCTATGAAAAATATTGTGAAACACCAACTTTCGATCCAAATAATACAGCTCATTTAGATGCATTAAAAATATATGATGATTTTTCGAAACTACCACATTTTCCGTTAGAAAAAACTTCATTAGAAGAAGTAGAAAAAAATTGGAAACGTGCCCAGAAAAAGAAATTAACAGACACAGAAGGTTCGTCAGCATTTGTATTACACCAACTACCAACCGAGTATTTAATTGAATAAAGTTGCTGAGGTAGGCGATGTACTTCGGAAAAGTAAACATGCTACAGTCATTTGTATTTCAAAAGATGGAATATATCCCGCAGTGGATAAACTCAGACCGATATCACTTCTCTCTAATATCGAAAAATGTTTTGAGAGAATAATTCATGCTCGTATCCTTAAATGATGTAGTGATAAAAGCATTTTTATTGATGAACAATCCAGCTTTACATCTGAACGACGTTTACAAACACTTATTTTGTCATTAGTTGAAGACCTTAGATTAACTACTGCTGCAAACAACAGACCTTCTCTAGTAATTTTTGTCGATTTTATGTCAGCCTTTGACAGAATGTGGTACCCTGCGCTTCTTACGTCACTTATTAAACTCGATTTTCCTCTACCTCTATTACGCTAGATTTTTTATGGCTGGAAAGTAGAACAATATCAATTCATGTTGGAGAGGCAGTTTCACGTGTTATTAATATCTTCGTAGGTACTCCTCAAGGTTCAGTCTTTGCTGCTACTCTCTTTCGTTTACACGTGCTCTTCCTTTCCTTATATTTGATGACTCTAGTATGTCACTTATACGTAGACGATCTAGCTATTGTTACCTCTGGTACACTCGAGTATCCATTCTCAAAAAATGTTATCGATCTTGAGAGGCAGGCAGAAATTCCAATGAAAATCTTAGCAAAATACGCCGATGACAACTTACTTCCTGTCAATGTAAATAAGACGAAAGCGTTGCTTGTACATGATGTTGTTGCAACACCATATCCTAAAGTTAAATATAAAGAGTTAACAATTGATTGTGTAAAACGTTTCAAATATCTATTAGTTGATATATCAACTAAACTTGGATAGAGTATTTACATTTTGAAACGTCTTAAAATTATTAGAAAAATTTATCGTGCTTTTTGTATTCTCTTTAATAAAATATCTCTATCTCTAATACATATAAGAAGAAAATTGTTTTTTGCTTATGCCCTTCCGCATATAATCTGACTCTTTTCTTGCTGATTCTTTTATATTGAGAATCAACAAAGATTAATTGAACACGTTTACTGCACAGGTTTACGAATAATCTACAATCTGAAATTTTTGTATGATTTGACAGTCTACTCGTTAGCAAGAAAATACACTTTAAATGATTACTTAAATAAATACTGGTCAAAATTTAATAAACACCTCGAAATCTCTGCAGAATCACATCAATACCGACTAACCTTTGTGTCATATTTAGCATCTAAAGCGCTACAAAAGAGCTGGTATCTTTCCATGGGTATGCGGAAAAACAGCAAATTTTTGAATAGACCATGTGAGAGAGCTCAACATTCGAAAATAGATTTAATAAATTTTTTGACAATTCATTCTCAACAATATGGGTACTTTAAACATGTTTCCTTTCCTATGTACTACTTTATTTATAAATATCTGTTGTAAACAACGTAACAAAAACATAAAATTAAGCCAACATTGAGTAAGCATAAGTTGTAGTAGTGTTATACTTTTCCTTCTAACTTCTGCCATACATAATTACAAATTAAATGATTTTATACACACCATTGTATGATTACTTTGTCTATTCTCTCCTCATTTTTACATTATATCATTTACCACAAAAGATGTAACAGACTATCTATTTTATGATGATTGTAATTTCTTTTTCTTTTCTTTCACTGTGATATTTCTTCTATATCTTCTATTCTCACTTTCTCTTATTGTTGCGTTCTTTTTAACTTTTTCTTTTTTTTCTTAACCTTTCATTGTCAATCTCATTTAATAGGAACAATAAAAATACATGTGAAAAAAAAGACATAGTCGAAAGTCTTGTAGAGAAATAAATTCTCTACTAAAACAGGTGAAAAACGATGTAAAAACAAGTGTTAAAATTCTCAGCAACAGAAAATGAAAACAGATGTTAAGACTGAGGTAATGTTTTGTATTTTTATCACTGAACATCACCATCATCAGCAGAAAATATTTCATCCAGAGTAGTTATACGATCTAATGATTCATATAAAGCAAAATTATCAGAAGATTTTGTTTTCTTTTGAACATTTAAATCGATTTTTTATTCTCTTTTTACTCGATAGTTTGTTAATTTCTAATTTAGATTTTAATTGCTGTAAATGTGTTAATATTGATAAATATTGAAATGATCCATGACGTTCACCAAATGGGTTCTTTATTTAAATACGAAAAACAAATAAATATACGTTTTTGTTTTTCTATATATCCTCATTAATTGATCATCTTTATCTATCTTTTCTATACATACACCAATATAATAATTATAAAACTCAAAAAATTGTTTTATCATAATCTCACTAAAATAAAAATGATTGTTTTCTTTTTAAATAAATTCTTATTGATTTAAATTTACTGCAACTATTGTAAACATGAATTAGAATTTTCAAGCATTTCACACACAACCACACGTAATGTTTCGCGTTGTATTATTTCATTATACGTTTTTGAATCACCTGATCGACGTTCCTGTGTTTAATAAATTATTTTCAAGGAGAAAATAAAATCTTACTTTTTCGTTGTTTTCTATACTTGTTCAAAATCAGGTTCATCATGATATGGATTTGGTGAGAGTAACGACTGAATTGATATAAGTAAAGATGACATAGATTGAACTGGGCACCATGATGGTACACTCCAGGTACTAAAACATATAAATAAATGCAAACTACTAAATAGATTAGAAATCGGAAGATCTATCCAATAATCGATAAAAAAATTTTGCTATTTTGATAAAGACTTGGATGAAAACGGACTATATTATTTCCAGTTGTCATTAAACGACAACGAGGAGGTCGAATAGAACTCGAATACATATAAAGATAGATTTGTATTAATTGTAAACTTGTTCAGACTTATTAATCAGGTGGACAACATAGTATAAAATAAAATAATTTACCTTGATATGGTGTATCATATGGACTAACAACAAGAGCTCGAATCTAGAACGTGAAAAAAAAGCTTCTTAGCGCAACCTCTTTGAGGTTGAAATGTGAAACTCACCTGTCTTTTTTAGGTTCATGGTTCTAATGTCAAATACATTGTGTAAAGTCTCTTTAAGATGATAGATTCTTTTCCATAATGATCGATTGTAAACAAAGGCTGCCTTTTTTATTTCTACATTTTGAAATGAATTTTTTCGTGGGCATCCCATTTTTCGTTTTTACTGTTCCGATTCACTCATTGTTTATCGTTTTCATTATTTTTTTTTCTTAAATTATTATCTGTATTACTACAAGCATTAAATTAAGTGGCAAATAAGGCTGTTACAAATATCAATTATTTAATACCGGTTGTTAAAGTCTGTAACGGGAAGAGTTGGAAACTTCAACTTACAACTTACACTCACTATTTTCGTCGACAGCATACATGAGTTTTACAAAACAAGTTATGCTCTTGTAAATCAATATAAATATTTTATATCTTTGTAATATTATCAGGTTCAGAAACAATAGATGTTCTTGGTGGTGGATCTTTGAGTACTTGGGAAATATCACTAATCAAAGAAAATTCTATGCTAAATATTTAATATAAAAAGAACACCTTACTGTTTAAATGTTGCTTAATTAGTGACACTTGGTATTTTTTATCCCAATCCAAAGAATTTAAAGGATCCCATAGATTTCTCATCTTCGTTGAAGTATCATCATTAAAAATTTCATTTGCAGACATTTCAGATGATTGACTATTTGTCACCATTGTATTATCATTATTACTCATTGTGATTTGTCAAGGAAAAATTACAAATTGAGAAATGATATTTCATATATTGACATTTGTGTTAGTATTTATTTTAAAATCGGCTATGAAAATTTGAGACGATCAATGCACATTTTTCTGTCACATGTAAGTTAACAAATGAATATCTAGAAATAAAATGCGCCATGTATTATGTTTTTATCGTTGTTCTTTTCCTTCTTTTTTTCATGATCTACATCATTCGTCACCCACTCCTGATAACAATACGGCAATCGTCGAACATTTTTTGTGATGTCAGAAAGAAATCAAGAAGTAACCTATTATATTTAGTTGTTTGCTATTTGAAGATGTACAAAAAAAAGTCCATCATCCCATATCGTATCGAACGGTGCGTAAACTGTCTTAAACGACTTGAAAACGATGAAAAAACGGCTGTCGTTACGATGGTCGTTTACGATCTGCCGGCAAACGGAGAAATACGGCTGTCG